GACTGAAAACCCTTCCTCCAACACCGCGGCTTCGCAGCGTTTAGGGTAGGCCTCGAGCCATGGCAACATCCTTGCCACGCTCACTGGTGTCCTCCCCCTTGGAACCATCCTCTCGTGACCCTGCCTTGGGAATGGACTGCTTCGCCTTCTTGAAGCATCGCATGGCGGGGTGAGCCCCCCCGCAATGTGAGCACTCGTGCTTGAACCTACAGGAGGAGTACCACCTGCAGTGGCTCTCATTGAAGAGCCAGCACACTCCCTTTTTCTGCCCAGCCGGCGCACCGGAGGAAGCTCCGGCGCCGGCTGCCCCTGGAAAGGACGCCGGACGACTCGGCGTCATGAGCAACAGCCACAGGCTGCCATCCTGCGTGCCGAAGTCCAATCCAGGACACGCCGCCATCTTCTGCCGGAACTGCTGGTCGTAACGAAACCAGCTCTGCCCGCCATACACCTTATACGCACCCCAAATCAGATCCAAGTATCCGAACAGCTGCGGCGCCCTATCCGGGAACCGACGGGTCAGAATACTTGCGAAAACGCGAAACCCTGTAACCAATTCCCAAACGTTCGTGGGATTTGCTTACCCTTCTCGGGGTCCTGTGGCTCGCCACGACGTGGTCGATCCACAGAATCCCTGTCCGGGGAAACCAGGGACAAAAAGTCCACAAATTCCCCTTTAATAATCTTATCCCGCGTCTCCCCTGGGACATGCATGCCCAAGGGGGACAGTTCACAACCCGGTAGAGAGGGACGGAACCCCCCCCCGCCTGAGCCCTATCAGCTGGAGCCTCCTCCAGCACCCTGCGCACGTCCCCTGATTGGCTATGCGCAGCTGGCAACCTATCTACCACTGCCCTGAGCAAGCGCAACAATTCCCTATCCGCAGCCTGCTCCTGCCCTAGCGCACCCTGTCCCCCAGCTAGGCTACCCCAAGCGCTAGCGCAAGCCAACTCACCGCTTAGTGGAGCTGCCACGGTAGCCTGCTCAGGTTGGCGAGGTCTGGGAGCCGTCCTATGGTCCAAATCTTCCTCCTCTGATCCGGATTCCAAGTCCTCCTGTAGCCTCCTCTGGATGCTGTCCCATGTTGGACTCCTGTCCGGCAGTCCCCGCGTTCTGGGCTCTCCTTGCTGCAGGGCATCCGCCCCCAGCCTTCTCCTGGGCTGTACAGCCCTCCGATCCCGAGCTTGGGCGCCCCCACGGCTCCCCTGGGGCTCCGGCGCCGCATTTTCGCGCACTTCCGGGTTCTCCGGTGGGGCCTGTGACGTCCGCACTGTGCGCCGTGCGTCCGTCACGTACGCGCCCCTTGTGACGTCCGGCGTCTCCACGCACCGCCCGGACGTCCGACGTCGATGCGTCACTTCCGGCCGGACCGGAAGAGAAGGAGGACTGCGCGAGCGCTCTTCCCGCGCTCCGCCATCTTGGGCCCGCCTCACCGCAGCTCTCACCACCCGCGGCTGCCTCCTGGAAGCCCGGGATCCGCCATCACCGCCTCCATGCTCCGGCTGCTGCCCGCTGGTCCCGGCCTCCGATCCCCCTCCTCTACGCACCGGACTGGGGGAAAGGCGGGAAGGAGGCCTAGAACGCCTCGGCCTCCTCCCGCGGGCCAGAGAAGGGGTCTCCGCCACCGGCTGCTCCACGGCCATGCGGGCCTGGGGAAGGTCGGCCATCAGCTCTGCCAGAGAACCGGATCCATTGGACGCCAGGTAGGCCTGCAGCACCCCCAGCAAAGCCTCCCTTGACAATTCAGCCATCTTGCAGGGAAGGCCTAGCTTGCAGTTAACACTGGAGTAAGGTAACTAAATTCTAACTAAATTCTTCTTTTTTTTTTTTTTAACAGCAGAAGGCTAGAAGCTAAAGGGCTCTGAAACTTTGAAAACTGTTCCAGACTGCTCCTTCTGCACTGGTGAGTCCCACCCCCTTGATCTCCCTCTTATATCCCACTATATAGGCAACATTGTATCTTTTATCTTCCCACCCCTTACTGCAGGGCAGCAGTCATGCCTCCCCTTCCTTGCAGTCCAGGGGATATCTTTCTAGACACTCTCACAGCATGCACATACACAGATAATCACTTAAAAGCACATGCATTTCAGACATTCTGATGGGACACACACACAAGAGTACACTCAGATTGCAATGGTTCCAGATATAGATACCCACTTACACCTCAATTCATACTGCCAGACACAATACTAAGCACACACTCTGTTAAACATACATACAGTCACACTGATAATCACATACACACTGCTACACATATAACACTCACCCTGCCACACAAACTGTGCTACAAAAACATACATGCTACATATACACATAAATCCACAATCTGCTGCACACACATACATACACATACATTAGTAAACATACACACAGCTACATACTATAAATTTATCATGTGTTTATATGATGAACACGTGCCGGGTAGCATGAGGCAGGCAGCCAGTACATTGTAGGAAGAGGCGGAACACGGTGGAAGGCAGAGACTGCGAACCAGTTAGAGAGTGGATTCATGGGCTGCAATGTTATTGTGAAAAGAGAGAGATACCTACCAAGTACTTCCTGCCGGCATGCACCAATGAGCAGATCATGGCCTACTCCTAGCTCTGAAGTCTTACACACAGCAGATCCCCCATGGTTTGAAACCAGAAGCTCTGTCTCCATCCCTGTAAATAAAATTATAGTTTGCACGGAATTAAGCAGACCAACAAGCTCTTAATGTAACAACTTGTTTGTCTGGCCATTGGGGTCCAGGCCTGCCGTACTCCTTACAAGTGTACTGGTTGTACCCCTGGATGGCTGGCCCTGGGTCTTGGTGGCTTTAGTGTCTGGTCTGGGTGTCCTTTAAACTAAAGCAGCTGTGCCCAAAAGGTAGGTCCCCAGCAGGGACGTATTTGGCTCGAGGCAAACAAGACATTTGCCTTGGGCAGCACTTTCCAGGGGGCGGCAAAAACTGCCCCCCAAATGCCCAGGCAAATACCTTGTTAGCCTGGCAGCTAACTAACAATCCAGGCAGGCGGGCGGCGCTGGCAAGGGAGCACTGATTTGTGATCTCTCTGCTCAGCTCCCTCGCGCGCCGCAGAGTGATGCTGGAAGACAGAATATGACGTCATATTCCGGCTCCCGGCATCACTCTGCGGCGCACGAGGGAGCTGAGCAGAGACAGCTCACTAATCAGTGCTCCCTCGCCAGCACCGCCCGCATGGATTTTTAGTTAGCCGCACAACCGCCTGCCTCCCTCCCTGTCAGAAGGGACCCCAGGTTAAAAAAAATCCAAAGGTAGGGAGGTTGGGTGGATTTAAACTAAAAAAGGGGAAGGGGAAGGGGAAGGGGAGGGAGTGGCTGTCAGTGTGTGTATGTCTGAGTGATTGTGTGTGTCTGGCTGTCAGTGTGTGTATGTCAGTGTGTGTATGCCAGTGTGTATGTCTGGCTGTCAGTGTGTGTATGTCTGTCAGTGTGTATTTGAGTGATTGTGTGTGCATGTCTGTCAGTGTGTATCTGAGTGATTGTGTGTGTCTGGCTGTCAGTGTGTGTATGTCTGTCAGTGTGTATGTGAGTGATTATGTGTGTATGTCAGTGTGTCTGTCACTGTGTGGCTGTCTGTCAGTGAGTGTGTGTGTGTGTGTGTGTGTCTGTCAGTGAATATGTGTTTATTTCTGACTGATTGTTTCTGTGAGGGCGCCTGTGTGTCTGTCAGTGAATGTGTATGTGTGTCTGAGTTATTGTGTATACCTGTCAGTATGTGTGTCTGCATCATTGTGTGTGTATGTCAGTGAGTCAGTGATTGTTTGTGTCAAATCAGTGTGTGTATGTCAGTGTATCTGAGAGTGTGTCTGTCAGTAAAAGTGTGTGTTAGTCGTTTAACAGGAAGAGGTGTGGCATTGACAAGAAGGGGTGCCCGAGTTCCGTCATGCCTAGGGCAGCATAGATACTAAATACATCACTGGTCCCCAGATGTAGTGGAACTACAAGTCCCTTGATGCTTTGCATGCCTTTAGAATGCCCTTACATTGACAAAGCATCATGGAAGTTGTAGTTATAAAACATCTGGGGATCTAACTTTTGGGCACCCCTGACCTAGAGCTTAAGCAGAAAACCAATTGATTTTCTTTGGTTTAAGATTCCCCTTAAATCGCCTCCTGTGCAATTATTAACAGTCTATTGAAAATCTCACTTACTATAACAAGGAATAAGTTTAAATCATTACCATTAAAAGGGTGATTTTTTTAAAATGTCAAATATCATATGAGTGAAACTGAAACAGAGCTTTGCTAGAGTTATTAATAATTACAGGCATTTAAAATGATGAAAACAGATATAAAGCCAGGTTTAGGAGGTGAATAGGATTAGGAGGTAACTTGAATTAGGGGTACAAATTCTTAATCAGGGGATGTATTTTCTTTTATTCTGTCATCCTTCCAATCTTTTGCCTGCTTATTTCTCCATATGCACATGGACACATTATGTGCAGGCAAACAGATCATCACGTGCACTGCAATCTGCAGACTGGCTATTAAACATGAGGGTACTGTCTCAAGGTAGGACGACTATTTCATTCTGACCTCATTCGATTTCACTTTTAATTAGGCAGCATACTGGATTAGCAGTTTGGCACTAATTGTTCACTGTTCCAGGTAGGACCTCAATAAAGAATCCTAAGTGGTTTGCCTTATCCATTGAGTGGTTTGCCTGCTCAATTAAATGTGAGTAAAAATGTCTTATTTATTACTCCTGGTTCACTTTACACAGAGAGCACAATTGTTATTTTCGCTTTGTTTCTGTTTTTTTTGTTTTTTTTTCCATACCGCTGTGATATCTGCTAATTACATTGCCGCAGGTATTCTATAAATGGGGATTATACCACTGTACGCCATTCATACTGGAGCTGGTTCCAGCTCTAGAAAACATGAGTAGGACTACATAAGATCTATGAATTATAAGTACCATATATTTTTGTGATATACTACACTATTGAGTTTTCCTCTGTTATTTTGAATATTGATACGGATCCCAAGAATTTCCTGATCTGGCACCTCAATACAGAAGAGACTTTCCTACAAAATTTGGATGTTCTTCTTGCAAGTTTGCACATTTATGTGGACATTTTATTGGGTTTTTTAAGGCTTTTATTCTTATGTATCTGTATAACTTTTATTACAGTTACTTTAGTGCATCACTTAGGCAATACAATGATGGGCTGTGATTGCTTGACTTTAGCAGAATTCAAATGTTGGGATTCAACTTTGTCCTTTCTATTTCACAAAATTGCTGCTAACCTTTTTTGGAAATTGCAAATTGTTTAACAAAACCTGTAGATAATCACCCACAGCCTAACAGTACCACAAAATGTATCTTGTCTATAGCCTGTGTTAAACTTAATTATTATACCACATTTCATAGCTCAGTTACAGGCCATTGGTTTTGACTACAAATACCACGTAAAATATTGTAGTAAGAAAATGCATTTTCCAGAATAATATTTGAGCCTTTACTTAGCACTTGCAATATAATTATCACATGAAGTGTTAGGATGAAATTACGTGCTAATTACAGGTTCCTGTATATGTTTTCATATAAAACACAACATAATTGTACACAGTTTACACCGTGAATACATATCATGCTGAGTAGGCTATCGAAATTTTGTTTGTTAATTATGGAGCATTTTATGCCACTAATCTCCCGGGTAGTTATGGATTCTTATCTTTCTGTCTAGTCATCACTTTTAGAAACAGACATTACAATCAGTGGCACAATATTCAAACGACTTCTTGTAAATATACATTTATTCAGCATATTGCAAATTCTTTAGGTCAAATATTGTCTCCTTTTAAATAGTTAAGGTATACACATACTGCATGTATTATCACTCTGTTTATTCACAATGTCAGATTTGTTTGGGTTTTGGTTTTTCACATAGAACCTACTGTTCTAGTTAGGCTCTTCATATTTTAATATCCTAATATTCAGCTTTAATAAAGGTTTATACCACCTATATGAATTTTTAATTTTAAAGGAACTTCTTTTGGTGGAGTGGGAGTCCGCAAACTTTAAGTGGGCGGTCGTCCCATCCTGCTTTATTTTTCGTCTATACCAAAGGCTTATACCATATTTATGGATACTTAATTCGTTTAGAGGTTCTCGTTTATGGAGGAGGGATTCCCTGCATATTTGTGAGGAGTTATCCTGACTCCATTTAGTAGTTTCTGTTCAATTTACTTTGGGTTTTGGGTTTACTTGAGTTCCTCTGTAAGCGATTAGGAGGCACCAGTGCTGACTAGTGTAGCCCTGTTGCCTCTTCTTGTGTGGCTTATATAATATATAATACCATCAATCAAAAAGGAGGGCCAGACTGGCCTATCGTGATACTGGGGAAATTCCTGGAAGGCTGGCTTGCCTTCGGGCTTGTGTGCGGCCATCTAAGGTGCACAGGACTGGGGCGCAATCGCAGGGTGACTTACAGGAGGGGAAGCGTTCCTCTACTGCTGGTCACTTTTTGCAATGTGGCCAAGCCCAGACCCCAGTAAGAGGAGCTTCTGTTCCCCTACACAGTCTGACAGGAAGTGCTCACTGAAAGCTCCAA